CCCCAAAACCCCAAAACCCCAAAACCCCAAAACCCCAAAACCCCGCTTGGTAAATTAGAAATAAAAGTTGACTAATTTAATTATTTCGCTATTACATTAATCTAATCTCTTTTTCTAGCATTATTCATAAATGCAAAACCTTCTTGAAACAGGTAATACACCCTGCTCTTACAAACTTAAAGATATAAGATAAGCCAGTTCTGCCTCCTGGAAAACTTGAGCAGATGAAGTACAGTAGAAACACTATTTCAATAATCAGAGTAAACATTGTCATGAGTAAAATTTTTCTGACTACAGAGGCGTAGACGCTCAGGACTATTGATAGAATATAACCTATTGCATAAATTCTTCTTGGACCACAAAGCAGTTCAATAACAAAATAGTTGTAAAATCCTTTAAGGAATCCAAACGAGCCCAGAATGCAAAGTGAACCAAGATTAAGAAGCATTGAGAACTTCATAGGAGCAATAACAAAGTAAGGGAGTAAAAAGAACGAAAGAGCAATTAAACCTATTCCAAAGAAGAACATTATCACAAATATCGGATAGTTTCTCTGGTATTCAACCTGCTAGCCAATTTTTTACTGAGCCCCTTGAATTTTTGATTTAAAAGAGCTGATGATATTATTTTGTAATTGATTTGGCTAAGGATTTGATTCTATTTCTTGCTTTTTCCAAGATTGCCAGAAATTTGAAGGAGTCTTGTCGCCTGAGCTTCCGCTTGATGAGACTGCTCCCAGCTCAATATCTTTTGACTAATTGGTAGTTTGTCTTGGGGTTCTTCCCCATAAATTTTAGAACCATTTTGGAGTGTTTACTTCATCACTTTAAGAGCTCTAAGTAGTCGAAGAGGAGAAGATAGATAGATTGGATAAATCTGAGAGCTTTTTATTTCCACCTGACATTTCAAAATATTCCTATTATGATAAAAAATTCATAATCTTATTATTATATCACCACTTAACTTTATCGCATAATTTAATACCAGATGGGGTTTTGGGGTTTTGGGGTTTTGGGG